CCAGGGTCCCTGTGAAGGCGGGCACCCTCTAACCCCCTGTGCCACCCAGGGATGCGTCTGGTGACTCTCTATCCACCCCTAACCCCCCTTACCACCCCAGTCCCCCTTTCCCCCTTGGCACCGCCGTGACCCCGGCCCGTGCCGCCCCGCAGGTGCCGCCATGGCGTCGCTGCGCATCCGGCAGTACCAGGAGCGGGACTTCGAGGCCGTGCGGGCGCTGTTCGCCCGCGGCATCCTGGAGCACTCGCCGGCCGCCTTCCGCCACGCGCTGCGGGCGGCGCGGGTGCGCCTGGCGCTGCTGGCCGTCTTCGTGGCGGCGCGGGCGGCCGCCGGCTCCTGGCTGCTGGGGCTGGGCGCGCTGGCGCTGGCGCTGGCGCTGCTCTGGGTGCTGCTGCGCTCCATCGGCGCCGAGTACGTGCGCCAGGCGCTGGGCACCGACCTGTGCGACGTGCCGGGCACCTACCTGCGCTCGCCCGACCGCCGCTTCTGGGTGGCCGAGGAGGACGGCGCCGTGGCGGGCATGGTGGCGGCGATGCCCGCGGGCCGCGGCGAGCTGGAGCTGAAGAGGATGTCGGTGAGCCGCGAGCACCGGGGCCGCGGGCTGGCGCCGGCGCTGTGCCGCGAGGTGTTGGCGTTCGCCCGCGCCCGCGGGTACGGCGCCGTGGTGCTCTCCACCTCCGTGGTGCAGGTGGCGGCGCAGCGGCTCTACGAGGAGCAGGGCTTCCGCAGGGTGGGCACCTCGTACCCCTCGCTGCTGGGCACCCTGCTCAACTTCCAGATCTTTCACTACCGCTGTGATTTGGGGCATGGTGATAAATAGGGCGCTGGTAGGGGTGGAGGGTTCGGCGTGGCAGCGTCGACCTGGCACTGCCGGCCCGGGGATGTGAGGCGTCGCCGCGGCGCTGCTGTGGTGCCCGAACCCCGGCAGCGCCGCTGCCCGTGAAGCCTGGCACCGCTCCGGCACCCCAAACCCGGCCCCGGGATGTGACCCCAGCGCCCCGACCCCAACCCTGGCACAGCCGCAG